CAACAGCAACAGCAACAACAACAACAACAAACAACAAACAACAAACAACAAACAACAAACAACAAACAACAACAACAACAACACCAACAACCAACAACCAACAACCAACAACCAACAACCAACAACCAACAACAACCAACAACAACAACAACAACAACAACAACAACAACAACAACAACAACAACGACAACAACGACAACGACCACAACAACAACAGCAGCAACAACAACAACAACAACAACAACATGCAATACCATTCAGCAATGGTGGGGTGGGGCGCGGTTTTGGCATGGAAGAAACCGTTCGCACAGTCAGAATGTCAGACGACCCCCGGTTTTACATCATGATGCTGCCTATGGATGGCTATTATCATGCAAAGTTGACATGGGCTACAATATCAAGACGATTATCAGTTACAATGGCCATTGATGATCCAAAATAAAACGTGATGCTGTCTTCTCAAGGCTACCAGCATTCAATGGGCTACGACGACCTCTGTCCTCTCCAATCACACTGATTGGCTAATACAAATTCTTGTAATGGCTGATTCTGCTCCCAGTCCACACAAACAACACTTGACTAGCAAAATGTGGCACCCTATGGGGCTTGCTACGAGCACCTTGCGCACGCGGCTCTATATATAGTCGATGACCAAATAGTTTTGTAGAGAGACAGACACCGAGATAGAAAGAATGGTTCACCGCTAGATAAGTAGATAGATGCATAGGCAGAGAGATTGAGATGCTTTCGAGAGGAAAAAACAGAGGGACATGCAGAGAGAGACAGAGAGAGAGAGAGAGAGAGAAAGAGAGAGAGAGAGAGATCGACACATGCAGAGATGGACAGGCACACAGACAATTATAGAGACAGATAGAAACACAGAGAGACAGGTAGACAGACAGATCCAAAAACGGACAGAGCGACAAAACACGCAGAAAGACAGACACATAAATAGACAGATAGAAACAACATTCGACTGACAGAGAGAAAGTTAGATAGGCGGGCACGCAGGTAAAGAGGCAGGCCTGTTCTCTGTCAAAGAGATCTGCCAACAAATCAAGAAAGATATAGCTAGACAGGGCGCTAAGTAGGATAGACGGGCAAATAAAAGAATCAAATAGATAGAGGAAATACCTAGACAGAGACTTAGACAGGTAAATGGATAGTTAGATGGCTAAGAAAGGTTTGCCGAAAGAAAACGGGTAGATAGAGAGTCAGGTAGATATCAGACATGCAAGGATAGATAGACAACTAGATCAATAGATAGAGAAAGAGAAAGAGCAATGGATAGATGAATAGAAAGAAAGATCGAAAGAAAGATAGGCAAAAAGATTGATAGATAGATAGACAGAAAGAAAAATAGATAGACAGAAAGAAGGACAGACTGGCAGATAGATCGGTAGACCTACAGATAGACTGACAGCCCAGAAGATAGAGCGATGGACGAAGAGGTCATAGTTCTAACCCGATATTTGTCTTGTCAGCGTGTCTCTTTGGCAACCGTGCATCGCAACCATTCCAATTGTCTGTCGGCTTGTGATTTGTCAATCTTCCGACATTGCAGCTTCTGTGCTACTGGTGAAAAAACATGCATGCAATCCAAGAGATCCACCTGTGCAAGTAATGACATCTTGCTGAGCCTGGGCTAGTGTCCCATACACTAGATCAGCCAAATAACTAGTGAGCTCATTGCATCAACTCCTACAAGCGGAAACTCAATGAGACCATAGGATTGAAGTCAGAACTGAAAAATCTGAACAGGGCATTCTCCAGCCTGGATGTTGCTCTTCATGAAGAGCAAAAATTTGCTGGTAGAGTAAATCTTGTTGATCTACCCCAGTGCCCAAGCGGATGCAGTTGACACCCATGCCTTGCAAGCGGTCGGACAACTCATCTCGCAGAGATTTTGTTGGCGCAGCCAACACATACCGTCCTTGTTGGTCAGGATCCTGAGTCCTGAGCGGGAGTTATCATCCGTCAGTCATTGATTGCTTCTTCGGTGTGTTGATTATTCAGGGTAGTAGAATGATTGCATTTATGGTGTCACAAAACAATTGATCAACCATTATTACACATTTGATCATTAATCACCAGCCACTAGTCGTCATTCATTTATCACGTTAATCCGTTGGTCATTGTTGTTCATTGTTTTCAATATTGATATCAAAATCATTAGTTCTTAATGGCTAATCATCCATGTTTAATAATAAACCATCGTCGCTGACTATTTATCATCAATCACCAGTTAAGTTTTAGTAGTCTAATCATTACTCATCAAGGTTCCAGATAGCAAGTTATGACGGGCCAGCATGTCAAAGCCAAATGCCGCACACGTTCACGAGATCTCTTTTTGTGTAAAAAAATGGTATCATTTGATGCATCAGTACGATTTCTTTTCGACCCGGAACCTGGAATGGGAAGTATTGCGCGTCAACGCATGGAAGTATAAAAATCCAAAATTCTTTGTCATCACTGTGCGATTAGGATGGTGCTTCTCTTAAACCCGACAGGAGAATTGATCTGCTTGCGTTCATGTCGCGAGGTGTTCAGGATCTGGTTGAAGTGCAGTTGCACAGGTGGAACAGCAGAGTCCTCCACGATGTAGCTTGCAAAGCTTGTGCTGAAAATGTCCTCTGCAGCTGCTTCTTCCAAGGTCACCAAGGGAGTCCAAGCAAGGCTGCGCTGCAATGTGTGAGGGCACTGCTTTAGACGTAGCACAGATGCTATGGTCTTCTCTGTCTGGAGAATTCGTTTTCGAAATCGGGCATTGAGCTCCTGGTTTTTGGGCTGGGTTGCCGGAATCTCATCTTCGGGTGTGGTTTCCACGCCCTCAGCAGCAACGACGGCCCTTGGAGGGGAAAGACTTTGAGAACGCAAATCATCATGATGTCTCGCGGTCCTGCTGGGAGCCGCTGCAGGGGGCGATTCCTCTGCGTACTCATTGAGCAAAGACTTTAGATGGCTTGGCGGTTCCTCATCTTCTCCCATGTTGAAGATATGAATGCTCTCACGGGCGTATTCAAAAATACGCCCACTTGGAGCTGTCTCGGGCCCTTGAACCAAAAAAGACCTAACGTGAATTCCTGATCACTGGGAACTCTCCTCTGAAACCTGTCTAATTCGAAATCTTCCGGAAAGCACGGGAACAGAAAAAATGACAGCGTAAACCGTGTCAATGAATCCCCTGTCTGCGAAACCACGCTCAAAGACCAACGCATGAAATAGAAAATGCAAAAAACTGGCCACGTCTTTCAAAGAACAACGTGGCCTGTTCGAGCGGCATAGATGGTTCCAGCGCAACCTAGCAAGGTGAGTTGAGATCTTCTTTCAAACTTCTGATATCCGGCACAAACCGGTTCCTCTTATCATTCAAAGGGGAAAACACATGTTTCCGTTCGACACAAATGAAAAAATGTATATGTTCCATCCGCACAAGCACTGCTAGAAGCAACAACTAGTGCTCCCGACACACGCGTCGTCGCCTCGATGCGAGTGCTGGATTGCACGACAGAAACTCAGCAGCCTATCGGCAACGCATCTTATTTCAGAAACTGGTCGGAACGATAGCTTTCAGGCTGTTCCATTTATTGTCTGAACAAACACATTGCTGGTCACAAACCGTTTGTCACCAACATGCACGGCAGTTGGTGATGGAGCGTCTGTGGTCACTCAAAACAGAAAACCTTATGGCATTACTGTCAGTAAGAAATATGTTATTTGTATGTATGTGTATATACCAAAAAAAGAATATACAAGTACACAAACATTTGTTGGTATAACAGACCATGACAATCTATCATTTAACGTCGAAAAGCATTCAATACCTTTGTTGGTCAATCAAAATCTTAGTCGGTCACCCGTCACACAATTATGCAACCAGGGTACAACCATTAAAATGCCAGAAGTGTTGAAAAAATCGATTATCACAGATGAACCTTCCACCTGCGTGTCATGTTTGGCCAGGAGCTACCCCCACAAACGTGTGGCCATGGGTATCCAACGTTCTGCTTCCTCAGGTGTTCCTGCTGCGGCTATCAGTTCTGCATCTGTAAGTACTGTTGTTGCCCTTTCTGCTCTTGCCAGCAGATCTGGGTAGATGTTGTCTTGTATGCCCATGTAGGCTTTGAACTTGTACTTCCATTCTTCGAATGTTGAATAGTTTCCATTATATGTTGGTGGCTTCAGCTTCAGCTTGTGTGTTGAGGCAAGTGCTTCTGTTGCTTCTTCATTTCCTGCCATAGGCGTTCCTATGTCGTGTCCTGTTGCCATTTCTTCTTGTTGAGGGTCCCCCACACTCTTGAGTTGGGATCAAGCCCTCTTGCTTTTCTTCACGCGCAGTTTGTTGTTGAACTTGTTTCCTCTCCTTTGTTGTTGTATTCGTGGTCTGTGTTGTGTTGGGCTGCTACCCAAGTGCTCCTTGTTGTTGTTTGTTTGGAGCTCACCTGGATGCTTCCAGGATCACTGCTCCGCTACCATGAAAAGATTCACGGCAGTCTGTTGTCTCTGCTGTTTCAATGCGCGCCTTTTTGTCTGTTGGGCTCGGACCTGTTGTCACTCCAGGCAGGCTCAAGGCCTGTTGAACCAGAATGCCATGTTGGCATGACCAAATGTACAATTGCATAACTGTTGTACACACAAGGGTGTGTTGTACTTAACATATACATATATATATATATACATATATATATATATGTATGTGTGGAGGTGGTCTGCCAAGCTAAAACTCCAAACATCATGGTCACTTGAGGCCAATGGGTAAGGGAAAGCGGAAGGTGGAGGGAGAAGAAGGAAGGTGTGGTGAAAGAGCAGTGTATGAGGAATAGATACGAAGTGGAGAGTAAGTCTGACGATGCTGATGATGCTGATGATGCTGATGATGCTGATGATGCTGATGATGCTGATGATGCTGATTGCGACAATATGGCCACGAGTGGGGGTAGTTAACTTAGTTAACTGTGAAGTTTCATATGGCGACAATATGGCCCCTGCCCCTTGCGCACCTGGGCATTGATACCATGAGCTTCTCCCCAAGGGCCATCAACACTCGCGAGCTCAGCCTCACGAGGCTCAGGCCGCAAGAAGGGAAAGCGTCAACCGTTGAAGCGTTGAAGCCGGAGGTCCATTTCACAGGAAGATCAGTGCGATATAATTGGATGAAATGGGGTGCCTTATGATTGGACAACAAACTGAAATGGTTGTTTCCACTGTGGTTGCGAGGGCGTCACCTCATCTCATGGTTCCTGGAACTACCAAAATAAACCTCATGTTTTCAGGGTTCGCAGCGATTCAACTGTATCTATGCCTATGCACGTATGGATGTATGATGATATATATATATATAATTGTGTATGGATAATGTATTGGTGTATGATGATGTATGATGATGTATGATGTATGCATGTAATTATTGACGTACAGTACTGGTTCAGTTCAATCCCTGAACAAGGGAACAGTAGGAATTCCGGACCTCTGAAATATGCCCCTCCGATCAATAAAGATTGTGATGGGAGATTCCCAATGTAAAAAGGGAACTCATCTGTGAACCGCGGAATTCCACAAAATTGCTTTCGAATGGGATTCTCCTTGGAGTTCGGCAAATTGAAATGTAAATACGGAAATGTACAGAATATGTTTTTATATTATGACTTCAATGGTCTCAGTTGCTACTGGTTTCTTGACCTTAGTGCATTTGACCGCGATGATTCGAAAATCAGCCCCATCTTCCGAACGAAATTGCAGACTTTCGACTCAAAGGCAATTCTTGGTTTTGTGAAAATATGTTTCGTTTCAAATCTTTGGGTACACTGATTTCGTCCCAAATGGATTTCATTTGGGACCTCGTGGACCTAAGTCCACACATTTGGTAGCGGAGATCCACACAGTTCCACCAGAAATTGGAACCGACGGACCAGACCGAAGGGACGAAAATGGGCGTAGCGGCGTATCCCTAATTCCAATGGATTATCACCACTTCCAAGTCTTGGGGGCCTCAAAGTATCTCAAAGTCTTAGGTGCCAGATGCCAAGACTGGAACCCAGCGACAAGACACTTCTTGCAGGCCCAGCAATCGAGGAAAAACTCTTCCAGTCCCTGGCTACATGATGCAAGTGCCCAGAATCGTGGATTTCATTCCGGGATGCATCTCAAACCTTTGGTGATGAAAGTGATCATCAGTTTCACACAGAAAATTCATAAAGATGTGTTCTTTGAATTTCTGTGCACCATTCGAAACCTCGAAACCTCGAAACCTTCCACGACGGAAATCCTATGACCTCCATCTTTCCTCATCTTGTGTATCGCTTTCTCTGAAAATAGCGTACCCCAAAATTGGAGTGTTTTTATCGCGTTCCCAACAGAAAAAAAAACGACCATAAATGAAAACTATACCCCCATGTTTTTTTCGACACAAGCTGATATCATATTCATGGTGGAAAAACTAGAACAATTTTATGCAATTATCCCCTTTGTACATAATCTCCCCATTCAAAAGCCATGAACATCTGAACATCCCATCCCTTTGGTTGGTAACGTCTCATTGTGTCGTATGGCTGGGGAATCCCCAACTGCTCCATTACCCTCTGGTAATGGCTAACATAGCGAACTGGAAAATCAGCACTTTTTTTTGGTAAATCAACTATTTCTATGGTCCATTTTCAATAGCTATGTAAACGTTTACCAGAGGGTATGATCAATAATGTTGCCATGAATCCCTCTTGTCCCCTATCTTGGTTGATGATTCGTGACATCTTCGTCAATGCCAAGTGTTCATGTTTCATGTTCTTTAATTGTTGATGGTTAATATCCCGAGTATTTCCGAATTTATTGATCTTATTCTTCATTAAGGTACATTGAAAGTATATCTACCCAAATAATATACATATAAATTTAATATATGCACATATAATATATACACATAATATATATATATATAATATATATTATATATATATATATATTATATATATATAATATGTCGAAAAAATTGAACATCCCCACTGGCTTCACCTGCGGCAGGCAGTCCAGTGCCACCAGCAGATCCTCATCCTCCAGCTGGCAGGAGCCCAGCAGCAGCGAGTAGCTCCGCAGCGCTCGCCCCGCCACGGCGGGGCCCAGGCAGCGCAGGGACCTCGGAGATGGGGCCCTGCTACGGCTATGGAAAGATGGGAAAAACCTAGGAAAAATGGGGAAAAATATGGATGAGACATGGGAAAATATGAGAAAAACATGGGAAAAATGATGAAAAACTTGGCTTGAAAGAGAAACCTAGTGAGTCCACGAAACTTTTGACTCCACTAAACTTCGGAAGAAAAGAAGAAAACTTAGTGAGATTTGGGTGATTCTGGTTGTTGTGTGATTCTGGCTATTCAACAATGGTTGTGGCGTCTTTAACTCTTGACAAATTGGCTTCAACGAGTGGATCCACTTCAGCCTTCCCTGGATCACCGGTACTTGCCAAGCGGCTGGCCCGTGAGCCTGACGTCCAGGAGAGAAGTCTTTGGTTTAATCACAGCTGAGTCTCAAAGCTATCATGGAAGTTCAAAGCAAAGGACTTCGGAGATGTTTTTTGGCAACTGCAACTTGACTATATTATAATATAGGGGGATAATTACCCTTTTCAGGGTCCAATGTTTTCTCCAGTGGTGTTTGGGGTGATTTTCTCATCCCAGGTGATGTCGGTGGCTCGTCACAATCCCTCCCAGCTCTGAGTTGGTGCATATTGGTATGAAAATATAGATATCGAATATAAAGATAGCAAAACACATATATTGTACAAATATAGATCGAAACATACATTTATACATACATATATATATATACATATAAATAGATATATAAATATAGATAAATGATCAGTATTGAATTTAAAGTTCATGCTATGGATCTCCCATTCCCCCATCATCCCCATGCCACCTGGGACACTGCACCAGCGACACAAAGAACTGCTCCAGCGCCACGGCGCGAGCTCCCAGCGCATCGGCCAGATGCTGCACCGAGAGGTCGCTGATCTGGTTGCACATGCCTGGGCATATGGGTTTGTCTGAAAATAGGGTATATTCCCAAACAAATAGCCATTTAATAGGGATAATGATCAGCAAAACCATTGGGTTTAGGGGTACACTATTTTCAGACACACCCATATGATGCTTGGTACACTCAACAAAAAACTCACTGGTTACCTGAAGTACCAATGAATGATGACATAAGGGACTCGAAATACAATGCTGATGCTGAGTTCGCAAGGCGGCTGAGTCTGAAGGGATATTATTGTTATAAAGAAAATGTGAAGTGAAGGACAAGACTGAAACACAAAGTTGAGCATCATCTCATCGAAAACGAATTGAATCAACTTGAAAGTGTCAAAAGTATCAAAAGTGTCAAAATCAAAGGAAGAAGCCAATAATATATGTATATATATATATGTATATATATATATATATGTATATATATATATGTATATATATATGTATATATATAATGTCATTGGGTTATAATGTTAATATAACCCAATAACATTTTAACCCAATAATAGATAATAAATAATATATCATGTAATATATGAGGTTCAAATCTTGAGGCTGTTGGCCGCTGAGACTGGCTGCGCTCGTGTCCAAGGCACCAATGCTGAGCCACAGATTTCGCACGCTCCGTGGCATGTTGGAACACAGAGCCTCTAACGGCAGCGAAAATGTTTGGTATGGACTAATGGTCCAACTTGGAGGGTTGTTTCAAGCGCGTATCACCCAACAAAAAATGAAGATGGCCTATCCGTCATCCGGAATATATATATATATATATACATACATACATTACATTACATTACATTACATTACATTACATTACATTACATTACATACATACATACACACACACACATACATACATACATTGCATTACATTGCATTACATTGCATTACATTGCATTACATTGCATTACATTGCATTACATTGCATTACATTGCATTACATTGCATTACATTGCATTACATTGCATTACATTGCATTGCATTGCATTGCATTACATTACATTACCTTACATACATACATTACATATATACATATATATATTGCTAGAAACAGTTGATGAACAGGAGGTACACTTGGTGAATCTCTACACGGATTTCAATGCACAGTTGTGAGTTGATAATATACAAATGTGTTCCATCCTTTGTGGCACTGTTCAACTGTTCTGCTGGAAAATGGAAGGCAACCAAAGGCCATCAAGTCAATGATTTAGTGAGGAAAGCCTCAAAAGTGGAGGAAAACCCAATTTTCAGACTTATTTCAACCCAAGATTGATGGCCTCAACTGATCAATGGATGAAAAAGTTGCATGAATTGCCTTCATGGAGCCCCCCTGAACTCATTGTTTCCCCACTGAAATGATTGCGGTGAATTGGATCCAAAGAACTCATCTAACAGGCCAGTGCGCCTCCATGGCCGAGTCGGTGATGAGATCATGCGCAAGATCCAGATGCAAATGCTCCAGCGGCAAACTTTGGATTGCCCCTGACAGCGCCTCAGCTTAACCGTTGAGATCAGCTGTTCCGCAGGACAAGCGGTTTATGATCGGCAAATCGTGGCTTGTGAAAAATCACCATTTTCTGGAGAAACAACAGCGCAAAATGAAAGAACGACCTCAGCTAGTCTGCGGATGAAGTCAAGCTCAACAAGGGATGTCCTGAACACTACAGTAGATAGAACCTATCAAAAATTGCATGGCCCTCCATGGCTGAAACCTGGCAATACAAAATCCTCTCTCTCGGTGATCCTCTTGGAGTGGGTCAGTATGCAGATGATCCAAGTGGCCACAATGCCTTCGTCTGAGACCTTCTTGCACCGCGTCATCCTGAAAAATCAGGCCAGAGTGCGATGTGGGAACCATCAAGTCTGAAAGCCTGCAAAGCTGAGTACCCCCAAAATCTCCGAACATGACGTGGGTCGTTTCGCCCTATCAGCCTGGCATACATCCAATCCCAAACTCATGAGCTGCTTACCATCCTCATCTTGTATGCTGAGATCTCAGAAATTGCTTTTGGAAAATGATTTTCTGGCCAAATATAGCCCACATTGATGATCAAATGCAATTGTTGGTTGTTAAATCCACAATTTGCTTGGTCAAAGTCCCATAAATTTATGGTCCAAAAGACATTGGTTAGATCATTCTTGATGCTTCAATTTCCAGTTCTTCACATGTTTTTCGCCATGTGAATACTCTCCGGTAGTCAAACATGGCAATTGGAAATGTCCGAACTAGTTATAGAGGTTTCTAGCTGGGCAAATCAACTATACATGGGAGATTTTCCAGCAAGCCACGTTTGATTACCAGGGGACCCATATCATCTTATCTTATTGTTGGTTATATCCCATTATAGCATATTATATGAATTTATATCCAATTATTGATGTTTATTACCACCAGAAAGATTCCCATGAAATATGATCCCATTAACCATCATCAACCATCTAACTCTTGGTAAATCCCATTAAATAGTCTATTCAGTATCCATTATTATCAATGATTCACCACTGCGATCTATTATCAGTTATTATTAATCACTATCAATCAGAATTAATCCCCCTTAATCACAATTCGTGACCATTATTAATCAGTATTAGTCATCATTACTCACCACGGCATTATCCATTGTGAATCCCCATGAATCCCCATTAATCACAATTCATCCCAGGTTTTCAGGGTTTTAATCATAGTTTGTCAATTACTAATAAACCCAGTTTAACCATTATTAATCAGCATGAACCATTATTAACATCAGTATTAACCATTATTAACCATTAATGGTTACTAATTAACCATTAACCATTTAGTAACCATTACTAACCATTAACCATTATTAACCATGATTGACCACGGTTTCTCATCCCAGGGTCACCAAGCACAGCTCTTTCAAGGTCGACGGCAACGCCATCGCCAGGGTCTTCAGCATGGCGTCGGTGGCGTAGCTCTTGGACCTCCCAGGTTTGAAGTGGAGATTCAACCATCAAAAAGGGTGATCATTGGGTTCCAATCATCAAAAATAGCGATTTAAACATCAATGATGGTGATCCTATAACTCGTGAAAAGTTGGGAATGGGGATTTATCCTTCAAACTTGAGGTAATTTCATCATCGGTTAATCTAAATATTGGCCATCAATTCTGATCAAAGCAACAGGTAATATTCATCTACAGAAAGTATGTTTTTCCCAAACAAGAATGCATTTTCAAAAATTGCGGATGTGAATCAGGACATGTGCAAAGGCTATCGCATGACTTTTACCCCACAACTGGGCAAGAACCAGGAAAAATCGAAATCAAGTGCTGATTGTTTTTGAGAATTTGGCGATCAACACCTAATCATCCTACCATAATTTGGAAAGGATTCACATCCATTTACCAGCTATTTTTTCGTTTCCACCGCAGATTGTCTCAGGCTCCAGTACCATTTCTTGTTCCAACAGCACACGTTATCTCGGCCTGAAGCTCAAGCTGATCCGCGTGAGGTGAGAAACCGACAAGGCACGAGCATAACCTGAAGCGGCCCAAATCAGCCAACTGCGAAGACCGAATGGTGTCAAAGTTGATTTTAAAAACATTAAAAACAAGATGGAAGCCACGAACCCGAATGTATTCACGTTCTTGGACTACGAGTGAAAACCTCTGCAATAGGAAAACGAGCCTTTTTTTTCATGCATCGTGCGTGGATATCGTCTCAGCGAAGGCACCTGATCAACAGTTCACAAAGAGACAACTAACGCACAAAGACACGCATGGAAAACATCGCTTGAAGACAGTACATATTTCCCCTGTTACCAGTCTCCAGTGTGGAGTGGAAAGTGTAGTGTGTGGAGTGCGGAGTGGAAAGTGTAGAGTGTGGAGTGTGGAGTGTAAAGTAAGGAGTGTGGAGTGTATAGTGTAGTGTAGAGTGTGTAAAGTGTAGGGTGTAGAGTGTGGAGTGTGGAGCGTAGAGTGTACAGTGTAAGACGTCCCAGTATTACTTTGTACTACAAAGCTTGCACAAGCCACCTTCCAGTACTACTGTGTACTACAAAGCTTGCAGAAACTACTTCCCAGTGCTACTTTGTACTACAAAGTTTGCACAAAGTCATTCCCAGTACTACTTTGTACTACAAAGCTTGCACAAAGCACTTCCCAGTACTAGTTTGTACTACAAAGTTTGCACAAAGTCGTTCCCTGTACTACTTTGTACTACAAAGCTTGCAAAAAGCACTTCCCAGTACTACTTTGTACTACAAAGCTTGCACAAAGCACGTTCCCAGTACTACTTTGTACTACAAAGCTTGCACAAAGTCGTTCCCAGTACTACTTTGTACTACAAAGCTTGCACAAAGTCGTTCCCAGTACTACTTTGTACTACAAAGCTTGCACAAAGCACGTTCCCAGTACTACTTTGTACTACAAAGCTTGCACAAAGTCGTTCCCAGCACTACTTTGTACTACAAAGCTTGCACAAAGCACTTCCCAGTACTCCTTTGTACTACCAAGCTTGCACGCAAAACGACATGACAACCTGCTTGGAAACCTTCAAAAAGGAGAGGTTTTGCAGCTTCCCCCATAGACACGGAATTGACGACCCGACGACGACGCGACGACGACGCAACGAGCCACTCGAGGCGAACAAGGGTCCAGCCCCCAGACCCCCAGACTATAAACGGGAACCCTTCGCTACGCCGCCGGGAAAAAACATCCAAAGCGATCTGCTGTAGTGCGGAAAGCACCATGTATAGTGAATTTTCCAGCCAGCCACGTTTGATTACCAAAGGGTAGATCCCACTAAATCATCCTAACTGTATATCATATCTATAACTATATATATATATTCCATGCAGTATCCATGATTATCCATCATCCACCATTATTAACTATGATTTCCCCATGAAATCCCAACCTTTTCATTTCACCATTCGCATCTCCATCCCCCACGCGCCAGGTGTCACTCGATGCTCTGCCCGTGCTGCAGCGCCAAGATCCAGGAAGTCAACGCGAAGCGCGCGTGCAGCGTGGCGTTCACTGCCTCGTAATTTGGGTGTTCCAAAGGTGGCTCCTGGCTGTCGCCCAAGGTCAGGGCTTCCTCTAACGTTTGAGCTTTCTAATGATGCTGGAATCTAATGATGGGATGTTTTGGATGATTTAGGGCATGAATGCCTGAGAATGCAAGGATGATCGAAATTTGATTGTCTTTCAAGCAGAATATTCCCAATAGTTATCACAAAAAGTTGGCCAAATCATGATTTTTTTTAGGTGAATGGGTCGTCGTCTTTTCACAAATCTAATCCCGAACAAATCGATGAAGTTGTGATGTTTGCACATAGCCCACAATCTGTTAAATGCTCCAATCAGAGGGTCAAAGAACAAAAATATCTGCCAAGGATTGGTTCCCCAAGAACTCCCTAACTGACGACTTGGCAAACAGGCTTTACACAGATGGTTCGCCTTTTCGTACACTCCTTGATTCGCTTGTCTTGAGATCCATTTGCAGACTACTTTCATGGTTTGGTTTCATTTCTATGATAGGGGTTTATCTGTGCATCATCACTTCGCATGTGTTGGAACTGGTTTCAATTTGCCTTTAATTTCAACTTCCGTGATCAATGGTGTCGGCTGTGTTTTAGATGTGTCTGTCTTCGGGAAAACTACTTCACAACAATTGCGTTGCAGGGCATTACACGATCTAATAGAACATGACAGTACTATCGGATGACGGTGTGTTGCATGAGGATACATTGCGCTACATTGTACAATACATTGTTTTAAAAACTGCATTCCGTGTCATCCTGCAGGCCTGGGTGGTCGGTTGCTGTGTTTGTGCCTTTTGCGACCCGACGAATGGTCGCTGGTCGCAGTGCAATGCGCAGCTCGCGATGGAACTGGCTGTGCCAGGCTTTAGACCCCCTGGATGTCTATCGGTTGGCAAGTGGTTTCTAGGATTTTATAGCTATTTATAAGCCACATAATACAAATCAAATAATATACAAATATATCACCCATCTTCATAGCTGGTTGGGTTACCTGCATGGTTAGGAATTCATTGGGACGCAGCTCCTGGCAGACCCCAGCGCCGTCGCTGCCGCAGATGGCGTGCAGAATCCGGCGCCGATCTTCCTCCACGGAGGCTTCCCCGCACTGGACCTGGCATTGGGGGCGCTGCAGGACTGGCATTGGTTTAGTATATGGGGATGGATCAATACCTATGAAAATACCATTTTTAGTGGGATGAACATCCATAAATCCCAGCTATTTTGATGTGAACTACAGTGGTACTATTGGTTTTGACCCACTGCCATATGTTTAAGTGATTTTAAGTCTATGAGTCTATGACCTTCAAAACAAAATAGAAACATAGTTCCATGAATTTGTCCATGAAATTGTGCATGAATTGATTGATATTTCCATGAATTCATGGAAAATCATCGATACTAACACCAAAAAAAGATAGGAAAGGATGATGTTTTCCCGCATTTTTTTTTCGGGGCTTGCGATAGATCATCCAAACTTATGGGGATATCATGGGATAACCATTGGGATAATTACATTTATATAATGGTATGCATATGATATCAAGGTAAATCTGAAAATGCTGGACGTACCCCCAAATTATATGGGAAAATGATGATCATCCACTGTCCGTGGGATTGCCTTTAAACTTCTCTCACTATCCCATTTCATCTTTCGCCGCAGCACAATGCTTGGCTAAACCACTCATTGGTGTTTCGGCCACCCCCATGAAAAACGGGAATGTAACTCTTGTAAAACAGAAAATGTTTCAAACCGCCAACCTGTAGTTGTACACGGGCTAAATAGGCTTGGTCCGCCGCAAGCTGGGGTTGGATATCAGGATGAGTTGGCCGAGTTTGGAGCCACAAATTGGCACCCAAAAGCCTACGGATCATCGTGGGTTGAGCAAGAATAGAAAGTATCATTCAAAAAATGATGGATTAATCAAGTTTATATTTATTCTCAGAAGATGTGACCAACTACTTGTTTCAACTTGTCAAAAAAAAACATGAACCAGGACATCAAAACCAAATCCTTCTAGCAAGTCTTCTGGATCCCTCTTAGGTCTCTCAGGTGTGTTTCAAATCTTCGTGCGCAAACCATCTGCCAAAGGGGCTGTAAGACCGATCTGTTGTGTCGAAGCTGGGTGTGGGACTTTCTGAAATTGCCCCCTCCTTTAACTAGACTTCCTCGAACTCTGGGAGAGACTTCGATCGTGATCTTCCCATCATTCGACTATCGTGAAAATCTAAATAAAACTTCAATCTCTTCTCCGAAATCTTCACTTTTTATCGACCCATGGCCATCCTCCACTTCTCCACTTCTCCACTTCTCCACTTCTCCACTATCCCCACCCCAGCCGCCATCAGCACCTGGATCTGCATCGCAGCCCTGGCCAACTCGAAGGGAAAGTTCCGCTCGCGCTTTTGCTTCCGATCCTCCCACCACCAACTGGCGCCCCTCTGATCGATCTGCGCCACCCCATCCGTCAGGCCCAGTGCCTCGCCTACGACGACGATGACAGGGTGTGCAAACTGGGGGATGGATGGCGCGCTTGTGATGGTTGATGACTCTGTGATAGGTCTGTGATAGGCCTATGATAGGTCTATGATAGGTCTATGATAGGTTGATAGAAGTTCACCCAACTCAACTCTTGGCCGGACTTTTGAAGTGAATTATGTTTTTCTGCACGGCAGACAATGGGCTGAAGACCGGGGCATCAACCGTCCAGGGTCCCGTGTGCCTTTTTGCCAGGTGTAAATGTCGTAAAGGTGTGTCGTCCAGGTGCTTTTGCCCAACGTCACAAATACCTGGCCACTTCGAAACACAGTTCTAAACACACGGGTGACCTTGGTTGATAAAGGTCAGATGGATGACATGTAGTTCAACAATCTATACAGACCCGTTGTCATCCAAGGGGGCCATCAGCAATTCGCCACAGGGAATGTTCAAACTCTCCAAACAGTTTTCTCCCAAAGCCATGCAACGAAAGTTGCTCAAGATCACCATTTTAGGCTGGCCAATGGGGGTCAACTACTCCAACCCCCATGACCAAACCTCAAATGATCCTCACCCAACCCATGGGAAACCCATGGGACCCATGGCCCCATGGCCTCATAGTCGCACCAGATCCTCGTGTAGACCGTGGCGCTGTTGTCGAGGATGGACAGGGTGCCATGGGACACATCCAGTGCTCGTCGGAAGGACGAAGTGCTCGGCGTTCTGCCGAGCTCGTCGTTCAGCTGCCACCTCGAACTGAGAAAACCAACGAAGAAATCAAAGACGGAGATTCAGTGGCTGGAAGACAAGCAATTTCAAAATCAAACAGTATACTTGTGAAATTCATACGAAACTGCGACCTGGCCAGACCAACAGTTGGAACTGCCACCATTTCCATTTTTTTGGAGTTGCCAGCGCAACATCGATCAAGATCAATTATATAAGAATATGGGTTTGTCTGAAAATAGGGTATATTCCCAAACAAATAGCCATTTAATAGGGATAATGATCATTAACCATTGGTTTTAGGGAAACACTATTTTCAGACACACCCATATGATTAAGTGACTTATCTTTGTAATAAGTTGAATAGTTATTTTCCCTGAAGCTTCTGTTGTGGTCCAAGCGGCTGATTGTTGGCATAAGCACAGACCCAGTAAGGGACCGTTTCTGCCAATTGTCGATGGTGCAAATGCTTCGCCACACAGGCGATGAACTGCACCACAGGCTCTCCCCACCAATGAGATACAAACCTTGGACCAGAGCCAAAGGTTTCAATTGGATCATATACCCACAGAGCCAAATTGAATCAAAGAACCTACAATTAAGCAAATGTCATGCAAGAATCGTTGTTTAGATGATGCTACCATGCTGTGTCCAAGTTCCCAAACAAAGTCGTGCCAGGAAAAATGCGAAAAATAATACCCATAGACTCTGCCATACTGTAGAACACTCACAAATTTGAAAATGCAACGCAAGTTCTTGTCTCAAACAGTCTGGCTGGGCAACCACTGCGCAAGTTGAGGACCTTCTGCCACGAGCTCCACATAGGAACATTTCCGCTGCATTGTAGCTGGTTTGATGAAGTGGTGGACCGTGTCGTACCTGACAAGCGCCCCACTCAGCAGAATGGGGCAGAACATCATGAAATCTTAGAGATATTCAGTATCCACAAATCGAAAGCCACTTAAGACTCGGGTTCAAGCTGCCGCCCAGGGCACAAGTTGCAGTTGGATGTGCAGAGGAGCGTAGGCCTGATCACATCCCGAAAAATTGGGGATGGTTCAAGTTCTTCAAGTTTTTCAAGTCACCAAAAAGAAACACAATTTATAATCACCCTCAAAAAGAACACTCAGATTTGAGGTTTTTGACTCCTTGCAGACCCAGTTGCAACTCTGGATCACCAAGCCCTCCGACCAAACTCAACTTCCCCGAGCTATGTGTTTATGTGTTGTTTTTTTCGATTTTTCCATAGTGTTCATCGTTTGTTCCAGAGTGTTCATCGATTTTTCCGTTGTTTTCATCAATTTTTCCATGGTGTTTCTTCACTTTTCCATGGTCTTCGTTGATTTTTCGATGGTTCCTTTCGAGTTTTCGATGGGTTTCATTGTTTTTTCCATGGTTTCATCGTTTTTTCCATGGTTTTCATTGATGTTTCCATGGTTTTCATCGATGTTTCAATGGTCATGGAGTGTTCCATGGAGTGTTCCATGGTTTGTATCCATGTTTCCATGGTGTTCATCGTGTTTTCCATGGTCTTTGTCGGTTTTTCCAGGGTTTAAATCGATTGTTCGGTGGTTTTGATCGATTTGTCTGTGGTTTTTTGCCGATGCTTTCTATGGGTTTGATCAATTTTTGATTGTTTTCATCGATATTTTGATGGTTTAGGGTTCATTTAAGGTTGGTTTACGGTCTATCTGTGGTTGCTTTCAGGTGTGGGGTCTTTTTGAAGTTCGTTTAGGGTTGGATCGGGGTATATTATGTTTAAATTTAGTGATACAATGCGTGCCTGTAAAACCTGTAAATATGTATTTGTCGCTTATATATATATATATATTATATATATACATATATATGCGTGTGAAATTATGTGTATATATATATATGTATATATATATATGATAACGAAATATATGTATATGTATATATACATATGTAGAATAGTGTATTTGCAACTGTGCAAATTTGGACTTAAATAAAAAACGGGAATGGGATTGCGGGGGAGGGCTGAGCAAGGGCGCAGCGCCTCCCCCTAAAGCAGAATGACAATTCCTGTTCTCACAGGTAATGCTTTAGTTTGAATATGGTAATTACTCAATGTGCTTACAATGAAGAACATGCCCCTTGTGAACATGTAAAATGTAGGTTGGATTAGTTGTATTGGATGTGATCACAGTGTTGATTTAGGGTTGGTTTACGATTTATTTCGGATTGGTTTAGGGTTTATCTAGAGTTGGTTTAGGGTTTCGTTAAGTTTGGTTTTGGGTATATCTAAAGTTGGTTTAAGATTGCTAGTCAAGTTCGGTTTAAGGTCTATTTAAAGTTTGTTTCGCGGGGGGAGTTGTTTTTTCGCACAACGTGTGTATATAAAGTACCTAAAAAGATATTTACATATATATATATGACATATCGTTGTGTATTTTTGTATACATAAATATATAAAGATTGATTATGTGTATGCAAGTACATATGTAATTACATATCTATATGTATTTTATATACCAGGTAGTGCCCGGCATGCCTCGGGGCGGAAGTTTCGAAAATAGGACATGGCTATGAGAACCAGTTTGCTTATAGGAATTCTTGGTGAGTTGTAAAGAAGTGAAAAGACATGAAATGAAATGAAAGGAAATGCAATGAATGACTGACTGACTGAATAAATGAATGAATGAATGAATGAAGGACTGCAGGAATGGAGGAATGAAGGAATGAAGGAATGAAGGAATGAAAGAATGAAGGAATGAAGGAATGAAGGAATGAAGGAAGGAAGGAATGAATGAATGAATGAAATTATTCGCGCCCGAAAATGTCTTCCAGCTGCATTCACGCGTTCCCGATCTCTCACACTTCCCTACTTGATGATGATGTGGTTCCCATGATGATGTGGCTGACATGGTGATTGAGATGATGATGTGGCGGCCATGATGGTGCGAAAGCACATGTTGCCGACCTCATTTTCCAAAAGTGTTCCCGGACCCTTAGTTTTTTAAACATTTTCGAGTAGAAAGCAAGCTCTCACTACAGTCTCGTGCGCCTTTTGCCGACCTCATCTACCAAAACTGCCCGACAGTTCTTTAGAATTTTTATGTAAAATCGAGCTCTCGCTGCAGTCTCGTGCGCCCGCGGAAACAGAGACCCTCCTTCGGCGACCAAGGCAGCCACTTTACCCTAAAAAAACACAGGGTTTCGCGCCCGAAAGTGTTTTCAAGCCTGCATTCACGCGTTCCCGATCTCTTACACTTCCCAACTTGGTGATGATGTGGTTGTCATGATGATGTGGTTGACCGGATGATTGACATGATGATGTGGTTGCCATGATGGTGAGAAAGCTGGCCATGTCAATCGTCCGTCACTCGGAAGTTTCCTAACTAAATTTCCTCTGATTATAATATATTGTTTTATTCTATGTTATGTTATTTTTTGTTATATTAAATTATATTACATTATATTATATTGAATTATATTATGTTGTATCATATTATACTATATCATGTAATATTATATTATATCATATGAAATATTGCATTATATTAAATTATATTGTATTATATTATATTATATTTATATTATATTATATTAAATTAAACATTATATTTTGAATTTTATTATATTGTATTAAATTATTTTATAAAGTATATCATTTTATACTATATATTATATTGAATTTTATTATATTATTTTATAGTATAGAGTATATTAGATATTATATTATATTATATTTTATTGTATTTTTTTATGTTACTATATATTACATTGTATTATATTATTTTGTTTTATATTATATTAAATTATATATTTTATATTATTTTGTTTATTTTATGTTATATTATATATAATATATATATATAATAATAAATAATTATTATTATTACATATATATATATATTCTTATATATTATATGGTATATATTATATAAAAATATATTATATATTATGTGTTTAATATTTTATATCATATTTCTTATACATTATATATTGTTTCATATTATATCATATATTGTATTATATACATTATATATTATACATTTTGTATTATATATTATATCATATTATATCATATTATCTTATGTTATGTTAAGTTATGCTATGTATTGTGTTATATTATATTATATTATGTTATATCAAATCAATTATATTATGTTATATTATGTTATATAAAAAATGATATACTACGTTATAGCATGTTATACTATGTTATATTATGTTATATTATGTTTTTAATGTTTTTTATGTTTCATTAAATAATATTATATATATATATTATTATATATTATATATAATATATTATATGTTATATATAATTTATTATGTGATATATATTTATTATATATTATACATTTTATTTTATATCATATTATATCATATTATATCATATATTGTAATTTTTACATTACATATTATATATTATGTGTTAAATGTTATATATTATTTATTATTGAATATAGATATATGTTATATATTAAATATTACATATTAATTTTGAAACATTATATGCTATATATTACATATATTATTATATTATGTATTATTTATTTACATTATATTTTATTTATTGTATATTATATATCATATATCATATAGTATATCATATGTTATATCATATTACCTTATGTTATGTTAAGTTTTGCTATGTATTATGTTATATTTTACTATGTTATTTTATGTTATATCATATCATACCCTATTATATTATGTAATATTTTGTTATGTATATTATGTTATATTATGTTATATTATTTTATTTCATGTTATATTATGTTACATTATATTACATTACATTTTATAATATTATATAATATAATATAATATTTTATTAAATTATATTATATTATATTGCACAACACTAACAGTCACCACAATCCAGACCACAAAAAAAAACACAAGCACGATGGACCCAAAATGCCATTGAGAAGTTGGGTTGGCACATTTTGTCAGTCTACCAACCCACAAAGAAGTTGGGTTTTTCACAGCATGAACCCAATAGTTCATAAAGAAGTTGGGTTTGTATATACTTTGACCGGAAAAGGCCAAAAGAACGACAACCAAAAAGAAATCATCAATCGTAATAGATGCAAAGTTTTCCATTTGAGCAATGACTTTGCCACCTGTACCATCTTCTAGATTCTGCACATCCCTGCTCAATCCATCAAATGCACATGTCACATGGTCATGTGGCCACACTTGTTGGTTGACCATTCTGTTCACTATTTGTCTCCACGGGTTCTACAGTACCAAGTCCCTTCCCGGAGGTCCCCACCAAGAGGCAGATGCGGGTGCACCTTTTCACTCCAAGTTGGGCTCGGTATTGAGCCAGTCAGTTGATTGGCCCTTGAGCCACTTGAATGGCTTGAGCCAAGTTGCAACAGTCGGAGGACGTCTCAACGACTGTGAAAACTTTAAAAAGACCTTAGTGGGGGTGCAGTGGTACTCTGTGCTGTTTTCCCAACCGCACTCCCCCTTCCTGCTTGCAGGAATCCAGGTTCCCCAACACCAAAAACAACAATTTCAGGGGTGGCCACGTTTCCTCTGGGAACTCGCCCTTCCCCCAGCCAGAAGGGCGAAGACCCTCGTGTGCCATGGTCCGAGGCTGGTGTTGGTTCCCCCTTCATCCAAGGGTCGCGTGGAGTTCCACTTCGGGTTGACTCCAAAAATTGAAAAACTACAGCCCTAACTTCGTAGGTTTTTGAATTCCCTCTCTCACCAGCGCCGCACTCGAAGAGCGCCCAACGGTGTTCTTTGGGTCCAGCAGCTGATGAGCTTTTCCCTGTACTGATCTTTTCCACCGGCAGCTAATGATCTTTTCCTTGGGTCTTGATGATCTTTTTCTCCAGCCACCGATGTACTTTTCCCGGCGATCTATCCTTTTTTAGTTCTTCTTTTTCTTTTTCTTTTTCGGTTTCCACTTGCAATAGGATCCGGACTTCTTTTTCCTTCTGATCACCTTGAGTTCCCATTGGTTGCGGAGCTATCCCTTTTGAGGGTTTACCATGAAGTTGTATTTCACCCATCTTAACCACACTCCCCAAAAATTCCA